TTTCTCAGTGTTCTGAATAATCCTAATACGCAGATTTTTTATGGGATAGTGCTGCAAACGAGCCGATCATAGATAAATAATAGGTATTCTGTGGAGCCGATGGATTAACTGATGGTAAGAAATCGGCGCCACCTTTAGACACCCACAACACTAAAAATTTTAAGAGCATTCCCGGACTTTTGAAAGGGTAATGTTTTGGGGATAGGGGATTGGGGGGGGGGGTTGTTCTTAACAAGAACAAACTTAAACAAAATTATTTTGTCGAATAGTTATAATTAGACATGGACAAGAAAATACGCTGAGTAAGTACGGAGTTCACCGGGCCAACTCGTATCTATAAAAACAAAATTATAAAAATTCCTATACCATATTTACAAAATAAACATAAAGTTAAGATTTTACTTCAAAGGTTAAGGTCATCACTTCACCAGGGTTGTCGCAAACATGCATGTTGCTGAGCCCGAGCGAAATAATAAATCAGTTATTTTTTACATCATCCGTGATCAGTACCTACTCGTTCTTACGGAAAAGTTTCTAGCTTCCTCCAGACTTCTCTTTCCATACTCACTTATTTTCTCATTTACATCTTCTATCTAGGTATCTTTTTTTGTGTTTCGTACCCTCCTTTCATTTGCTCCTTTCCAATTTTCGTATAGGTATCTAAGTAGTTACTTAGATGCTTGTAATGTAAAGAATGTTTTTAAAGAGTGGGAGAGCCATGCTTTGGCACGAATGGGCCGGCTCGACCGGAGTGATACCACGGCCTCACAGAAAACCGACGTGAAGCAACTCTTGCGTTGTGTTTCATCGTGTGAGTGAGGTTACCGGAGAGGCCCAATTACCCTCCCCTTCCCCAATCTCCCCAATCACTGAATCCCCAACGATCCTCAAACTCCTAATCCCCAAAAGGCCGGTAACGCACTTATAACGCCTCTGGTGTTCCAGATGTCCATGGGCGACGCCGATTGCTTACCATCAGGTGATCCGTCTGCTCGTTTACCGGCTTAGGTATGCCATAAAAAATAAATTACCATCTTTGTGTGTGCAACTTGTTTTAGGTCCTATCTAACCTGTTCAAATACCATCCCCTACCAACGTGTTTTAGATAATTTATATGTTGTGTGGATAATATCGTAAGGCGTAATATTGTAAGCTTTCGGATTTGGTCAAATTTTTTTATTTGTTCGTGTGTGTGTTTAGTTTGTTATCTTTTCGAATTTTAACAGTCGTGACAGATGAGATGCGAAGTACCTCTACCAGCTCAGCTATTGTGCTTCTTTTTCTGACTACAAAGCTCGCAATATCGAGGAAATAACATACTGCCAACCCTGCTTAATAATAATAATATAAAACAATTAATCATAAAAATACAAGTCATGTAGGTAGAGATAGATTTAAAACATAGATTAAATTCAGTAACAATAACATAAACAACTAAGTGAAATATATTTGTACGATAATCATTTATTATCACCGTAAAATAAAAACGGGGTTAATAAACACGCGAATCTATTACGTAACGCAAACAACAACCAAACTAATTAAGTAAAAGCATAAAATACTGTCTTTATAAAATACAAATGAAGTCAGTCGGTAGGTCGGTCGTGATCGTTTGAATAACTTCTGTAAATTATAATTACCTACTGAAATTAATTAAGTATTGCCAACTGCAATCATAAATTTATGGCAAGGTAAAAAAAAACTTAAAATTGCCACCATACTCCACTAGGGCTCGAGAAAAATAGTCCTTCGTGTGATGTATGTATTTCGAGCTAGAATTTGCTGGTTTCTATTCAAACACAAACATTTTACATATTTTTGAAATAATAATAAAAAAACAAGCAAACGAAGTCGCGTGCCCAAATTCAGTTTGTAACAGTTGATTGATAAAGAACAATATTATTTAATAAATTAATCAGCATGTGGCTTGCCTGTGAACTTCGATTACGTAAAAGATATTAAAATATTACCGACATAAAGTTACTAAGTACCTACATAGTTAACTTTCTACCTACAGAAATGTTCACGTGTTCAGAAAAGCTGCGATCACGCACGATGCGATGGGGTAGTTCAATGAAACTAGTCAAATTCAGTGATTTTTTGAAATACCGAAAATATTAGGTCTCGTCATATTTCAAAAGATCCAGTTGCCGTTCTGCAGCTACTGGCCATTTCAAATCAAAGTAGTTTTTGTTTAGCTAAGAATTCTAATTTCAAATTATACAGAATTTTATTTCAAAACTAGCTTCTGCGGCTTCGCCCGCGTTCCCAAGGGTAAAAAGCCTGTGTCCAAAGATTTGTTCGTAATATGAGGCCATATTTAATGTAGCCTTAGTGAGTCAAAAACGTATACCTACCAACCTACTACATGAGTACATTGCACCTGATCCAACAGCTATTCTCGATTATAACGGACAATACGGCGTTGGTCAGCTTTTCCTTGTATGTCTGCGGTCAGAAACCAACACCATGACTATCTTGTGCTATATGGGTTTGTTTTTTCACGGTATTAGGACATATGCTTAGCGGTATAAGGACACGAAGATGAAATCGTAACATTAAACGATAATTAGAAGACTACAACTGCCCGACGTCGAAGGTAGATCGCCATATAGTTACCGATACCGAAGCCCCAGTGCAGAGTAGGTACCTAGTAGGAGTTGGAACGAGGTACTTTACCTACCGGACTAGCACTTCTTCCTAAGTAGGAAGTCCTGGGGGAGTCCGCAGGAAGATTGGAGTCAGTTGAAGATATTGTAACAAAAAAAGAAGACTTCAAAAACTTTTCGCATTATCATCACGATTGCGTCGGATTCTTTATTCTAGCGATATCGATAATTATTTTGCGTTTCCTAGTAGGTACCTTTAGAAAACAATAAACGTACCTAGGAAATTATGAATCTTCGAACTATATAGTATAACTTCTTCATCCTGGATCCTCCAACTTTTACGACATATTAGCTATTGCTCTAAATGGCTAGTTATAACGACCATTTTTTTTCGTTGACCGTCATTTTCAGAAAGGGTTCAAAAATGTGATCTCTATTCGCCCTGAAAAATTAACCTGGCGGTCGTCCAATGACTTTGGTCAACAAAGACGAATTAAAAGCGATTGTGGACAACCAACGGCTGAATTAGTAGCAGCTTTCGACGTTAGCGTCAAAACAATATTGGTCCATTTGCGCCAAATTGGCAAGGCAAAAAAGCTTGACAAATGGGTGCCGCACGAACTCAATCGCCAGCGCGAAGCACGCGCCGAGACGCGTCTTGAACGGCTCAACAGACACACAAATGAAAAAAAAATTAATCGCATTGTTACATACAATGAAAAATTGATTCTGATTGATAAACTCAAGCGCTCAGCAAGTTAGTTGGATCCTGGTACCTACAGCACCTAAACAATGCCTTAAACGAAAAATTACCCTTAGAAAAGCGGTGGTCACTGTTTGGTGGTCTAGCGCCGGTGTGGTTCATCACAGCTTCTTACCAAACGGAGTGAGCGTTATTGCAGATGTGTGCTGTGAACAAGTCAATACAATGATGGAGAAGCTGGCAAGTTTCCAACCAGCATTGGTCAGTCGCTCGTCTCCGCTGATCCTGCACGACCTCATACTGCACCGCAGACAGTCTACAAGTTGCAACAACTGGGTTTGAAAGCTCTCCGTCATCCGCCCCACTCACTAGACCTTGCGCCTACATACTGAAGTGTAGCCAGCCAGGGGCTCAGGGTAGGGCAAGTGTAAAAAATCATGTAACCGGTAAACTATATACGCGCGATTTTAGATTGGTTAACTAACGACTGTCGAGTATATAACTTATTGTAAATATTAAACTCTTTTTGTAGTTACTACCTATTAGATGATTTAGATTGGATAGGTATTCTTGTTAGAGCTAGTGTGGGGCAAGAGCCCCACCCTGGCTACGCCTATGCTACAAGCTCCTTCTTTTTCCAGAATTTGGATAACTTCTTGGCGGAAAAAATACAATACCCAAGAGGTGTTTTTAATGAAAACCTTTTTTAGAATTCGTGGCCTCCCGTCCAGCTGATTGTGTGCTGCGCATGCAATCAATGCATCTTTGCCACTGCTTTGGCAAAGATGCAAGAACAAGAAAAATAAAAAGTACATCCAAGAAATCGTTTAAGTTTTATAAAAAACGACAATTTCATACGTAGGTGTAGTTTCACCTGTTAATGAAGAGATACTTCTACTATATTACACTTTTTTTGGTAGGTACCGATATGAGTTGTGATAAAATCGTATTAAAATATCGATTACCTAAACGATAAAATTCCACAAACAACATTATGGTTGTTCAAAAAGTGGTGAGACTGATGTAAATACGACGGGACGCACTTGAAAAATTGTCACGGAAAGATTAGGTCTTTGTCAATACCTCAAATAATTAGCTTTCTAAGATGTTTGTGACAGTTGCTTATTATTGTGTATGACGTGTCGATAACTCGTTAAATATGGATACGACTCTTTCAATACCATAAAATATTTAAAAATAATCACACTATCATCACTTGACGATATATTTAATTTCAGTATTTTGCAAACACTATAAATATACTGAACACATTAGTAAGTATTAGTATTTGATAATACAAACATTATAATATCACAATACCCGATTTCGTTTTTCCCAACAAAATTCATAGAAAGTTGTTATGATTGGGTACTTTCCATAGTAAAAAAATAAATTGTTTTGATTTTACAATAAAGTAAAATTGAGGTATGTAACCATTGCAGTAGGAGTAGGAAGGAACATTTGACATGCTAAATAATGAAAAAAGTTACTTTTAAAAATTTAAAATTATATTTTAAACGTTACAAAAAATATTACGAAATCTTAAAATTTATTATGATATAAAATAAATCGATCGAACCTTAAGAGAAATAATAGTCTTAAATCTAAATGTTCTATAAAATATACTAAATATCAATAAAAAGTAAAACTAATACATAATATCAACCTAAATTGTATAATTACTATATATGGATGCATGGAATTAATTTATTTATATACATAATTATGATTTCATTGCAGATTTTTTTAAATTTGTAAAATTAACTTGTATAAATGAAATAGCGGACATAACAGGAGTTTATTCACACAGAAAGAAGTGCTCACTTAATGTCGAATTGTCACTCACAGTTACTTTATGTACACAGCACACATTCAATGTTATTTTCACTCTGAAATATGGAACACCGGAGGTTGTGGTGTTAGGCTTATTACATGCCCGTTTTCTAAAGATCAGGAGGAGTTTCCATTCTCCCCGTTGTCTTGGAAATTGTTGACATTTACTGAGAAGGGTGCACCCAAACCATATAAATGTCCACTGGAATTTTCGATGTTGTCATCAAAGAATATCTGGAAAAGGAAGGTACTTATGAGTTTCTATAAGTTATTAGTTTGAGCCAGTTTGTATGTGTGAGCAATACAAACTTGATGATTGTATTTGAATTTTTTTTTTAATAAATATTTATAAGCATAATAAAAACCATGGATGATTTGATTACATTGCAGTACCTCCTTTATTTTAAAGAATGCCATTCCTGTTAGATGTGAGTCGGAACCAGCTTGGTGTTGAGGTCCCACACGACGCAGTTCTAACTGGTCTGCCACCTCCTGCAGTCCACCTTTTAAGTTTTTGCATAACTTCATTAAGTACTGAAATAAAAAATTAAAATAAAATTAGTTTAGGCAAATAGGTACATTCTTATATACCCAAAAAATGTTTGTCTCTGTAAGAGGTTGGCAGAGACACAGAATGACAAGTCATATCGAATAGTGACTCCTTTTAGAATAATTTGAATATAATGGTATTTTTTTTATGGCATAAGCCACTAAACGAGCAGACGGATCACCTGATGGTAAGCAATCGGCGTCGTCCATTGACACCGTTACAAGTGCGTACCGGCCTTTTGGGGATTAGGCGTTTGAGGATCGTTGGGGATTCAGGAGTTGGGGAGATTGGGGAAGGGGAGGGTAATTGGGCCTCCGGTAACCTCACTCACACGACGAAACACAACTTAAGTGTTGACGTCTGTTTTCTGCTCGGCCGTGGTATCACTCCGATCGAGCCGGCCCATTCGGCCGGAGCATGGCTCTCCCACACTTAATGGGTAATGCAAGGTATAATTAAATATAAATATTTTAGAAAATACAAATGTAGTTTCTTACCTTTACATCGTAAACCGTTGGAAAATAAAGCCTCAAGCTTTCAAAAAAATCATTTTCATCTTGCGGTAAGTTCTGATCAGTTAGCAGTTTTAGAAGGTAACCAAAATCATAGCCGGAGTGAAAACTGAGCCACTTTATATTGTCCATTAACACCAGCCCTGAAATTAGAAACATATGCATTAAAAGATGATATATTACAATTTAAAATATACATGTTCATATGAAGAATTGGTACAAAGAACTTGAACTTGTTTAGGTTGCTTTTTTGGCTCTATTGTGGAAATGAATCAAATCACGATTATGATTTCTTTTCTTTAAAAATTGTGATTGATTGTACATTATTCAGATGTTTTAATGGTAATTTTGCTATTCATTAGTCGGTTCAGTTTCACAGGAATCCTAGTGTTCCTTTTGAACATTGTAGTGGCCGTGAAGACAAGCTAAAAAACATTTTTATTAATAGAGGGTCGACACCTACAGATTGCCTGATGATGAATAATCAACTGTTGGAGGCCATTAGCAACACCAGAGGAGTCACAAGTGTATTCATCATCATCATCAACAGCCTGTAAATGCCCACTGCCGAGCAAAGCCTCTTCTATTCGAAGAAGGTTTGAGCATTAATCGCCACGCTTGCTCAATGCAGGTTGTCGATTACACTTTTTTTTTAATCTTATAAACTTTTTAGGGGCTTTTATCACAGATATGTCAGCCCCATCATACCCTTTACATTACTCGACTATTACATTTTCCTTAGGTACACTAGAGAATAACTTGATTAATTGTTATTAGTGGAGGACCAAAACATTACAGACTTATAAATAGAAATTTCTTTATAAATAGGAAGCCCAGGTTTCCTCACAATGTTTCACCGTTTGTCAGTGGTGTTTAGATAATCTTAGAAAGGACATATAACTCGGAAAAAGTTACAGTGTTACTTGCAGTTGGTAGGTTTCGAACCTGCACCCTCATGCATGACAAATGGGCCTCTTAAACCTCTGGGCCACCACGACACGTGTATATTTGAGTGTATTGATGCTCTTTAACCCTTATATCCCCAAGCGGTCAGTGTTTAGAGACTACTTTTGTATGAACAAATTTAGGGGACGATTTTCAACAGGTTAAAATGTATGTTAATTGAACATATTTACCAGATGACATCAATAGTTCTGCAAACTCCAGGGGTTCAATGCCATCTTCTTCATGCTTTCTGAATTGGAGACCTGAGTTCTGCAGTAAATCTATTGAGTCTTGCGCATACATATCCTCTCTGCAAGAAATAATAGCACATTAGAGTAAACACAATGTTTTTGTTAGTCTTATTGGTCGCCTAGCGACAATTTTTTTGTTTCATCCATTAACATACACCCTGTTGAACTTTTAACCAAATTTTTGGTTACCAAATAGTGAACACTTACCGTACTTTTTTTTTAGGTATTCATTCAATCTCTAATAGGAAAGAACTGCCAACATAAATGAGTATTTTTGTTGGAAATACAATGGGAGTACAAAGAATACTAATTACTTACTGCAGGTTGAATTTAAAGTTGAATTGCCATGTGGTGTAACCAGGAGGAGTTTTGCCGTTTTCATCCATGAATGTGAGACCCAACTGAATAATTCTTAGGAGATCAACATTACATCTGAAATAAGACAGTAAAAGTTTAAACTACTACTGAAATAACTTACATAAAAAATATTGTTGACACAATTGGCTGATGCTATATTACGTCACTTACTATGAATTTGTGTCAGTTAAATTTTATGTAGCATTCAGAGAATAATTACTTAGAAATTCAAGTGATATTTCTCAACTAAATTGATAATGACTAAGCAATTTATTTTTATAGTAATAGTAAATTGGGTTTTACAAAATATGTCATAATTATAAGTCAAATTAGTAAATTATAGTATTTTAATTACCTTAATAGTTGATACTGATAGTCAGCGGTGGATCTGAATTCTCCGATAGGTCGGGCAACAACTCCTGGAAACTCTGTGTCCATTGCCACCCAGTGGTATTTTTGAACAACCTGACACATAATTAAAGTTCAATATATTTTTGATCTTTGGAAACAACCTGTTGGGGACCAATCTCTTTGGAAACAACAATGGTTGTTTTATGTTTGAGTCCAACTAGCAGGTACTTTGACACTTTCCAAGTAGTCTCAAATTAATTGACAGTTAGGCTAATGAAAACTTAACAGACCATTGTAAAACAGGCCATAATAAAGTAATTTTTAAGCAGTATTATAATTTAGTCATCACTTCACAAAAACCTCATGTAACTTACTTGTCTTATTATTTGAAATTCTTCATGCAAATTATGATTCCATACATCCTTTATCCCACAGTCTCCCGTTCCTGGCAGCTGTGCAATTGATCCAAAACTAGCAGCAGGCATCTGTGACAAAAACATAGTACACTGTTTTGAAACTTGTGAGAAACAACCTTCAAATATTTATAACCAACTGTTGTTTACTGTGAATAAGAATCTGTAATTTTGTTGTATATGACGAATTGTATTCTAGGTATAATCAGATAGCGTCGTTGATAAAAGCAATACATTTCATTTATACGTTAGGACACTTTTTTCGTGGTAGCTATTGGCTTCACCTTGTGATCTGTTTCATAACAGTGTTTTGCAGCGTACAAACATTAAATCGACGTTTACACTTTAAATAGACTTTGTTCCAGTTACATTAAATACATTTTAGCCAATTTGGACAAATTTTAACGCTTATAATGGGTTGTCTAACGTTTCTTGAGTAGATAAGAGTTATAAATATAAACAAACAAACTAACCTTGTATCGGTTATCTGCTTCCAGATGGGCAGATTCTTCAGTTTTTTTCGACGCCGTGGTTTACGGTTTGTTGCAATCTTCAAAAAATTGAGCGCCAGCGCTTTTATACAAAAATGCTTGTTGATGTTTATAGGTTACACTTGCGTTTCTAATAACATCCCAGCGACTTCTGTCGCCAAGCGCGTTGTTAGTTGTTAGGATTTCGAAATTCTGCTAGCTTCTTCAAATTTTGTAGCTTCAATGGAATCACGTAATGTTCTTTGTTAAAATATTGCTAGATATTAAAGTCTACAAATCTATGGAAACAAAAAATTGTGGGATACGTTTTCGTTGAAACTTTTACCAGAGCAACGCAATCCATTTTTTTTGTACTTTTTTTTTGTCATGGGAACGAGGCCTTTAGCGCACAACTATTGCGTTGCGTTGGCAGTTGGCACGTCAAACATAATTATTTCAGTAGGGCAGTGCGCGCGCAGGTTTTATATTGTTACATGAAATTATCAGTGGGAAAACCGAAAATAATACTTCTGTGTTATTTTCGGTTTTCGTACCTATGAATAAATGTAATATTACATATTAACCCCATAAAATGTACGTTTAAGCTCTTATAAACGTATAATATAATTTATTATTACAATTTTCCGGGTGAAGTTTTGTGAAATTACCTTTTTTATTAACGTTCTTGTGATAATTTAGATCGTGTATAAAATTTTTATTGTGCCATCTATCGGCGAATAGCTGGGAGCTTACAGCAGCAGCATCTTATACTAGCGCCATCTATCCATTGACATTGACACTGATTTATTCGACTTAAATTTTTCAACTGTTCTATAAATTAAAATTATGTTTATGATTGCATTGACTGCTTCTACGGTCTCTTCTAGAGTTTGTGCTACCTACCTACTTAATATGTAATGCGTCATTATAATTATTTTCAAATATTTTAAGTTTTGGTGATGTGAAGCCACGTAGGTGAGTAGGTACTTAACTCCGGTCATATTGTTTGTGTTATCAATCTTGTTATGTATTAGATATACCTATGAAGTATTGTGAAGGTATATCTATTATTCAATTTAAATGTTTATTATATGAATAAGAAAATAATACTCGGGCCACATTAATTATGCTCACAAACTTTTATGTTAAGCATCTAGGTACGGATCTAGGTACCTACTTATGACATGTTCCACTTTCATTAGCTATTTTTAATTTAAAATAAATTAATTGGATATCAATAAAGTTGGGCAATCTTACTCTGTTAAAACAAGGGTACTGGCAGCGGTTAGAATAAATAAAATCGAGTTTAACTTTGCCTGTTAACCCTGTTAATAAGTTTCAATGTGGAATTATTTAAGTTATCGCTGGAAAGGGTAAACCGTAAGCCTCGAGGAATTAAACTGCTAACTTCACACTCCGCCTGACTAATTGGCGTAGGAGTATCGCGTACTGTACTTTAGATTGATTTCATAAATTATCTTTTAATTTAGGGAAAGTTCAATCCTGAATATAATTTTAGTAAAGTTTGAATCTGAATAAAATCAGGAATTTGATTTTGTAAATTTATTTCAAAGGAAAGTTATTCATATTTAGATATACCTAGGTTATTTTTTAGATTTTTTATCGCAAAAAATTTCGCTGTCAGTTTGTTTTGTGTCTTGTCATCAGGCTGTATCTCATGAACCGTAGTAAAGTACCTACTGATCTTGTAGTGAATAATTTTTTATAGCAATAAAATATTTCTGTTGGTATTATTAACAACAAATAAAACACTGATTCAAATAAATAGGTACCTAGCCACACAATAAACTTTTGAATTTTTTGATATTAATAGAAATGGTACGGAATCCTTGAGCGTGAGTCCGATTAGGCAAAATATTTTGGAATGATAGGTGTTGTATTATTACTTAACAATAGGAGTTTGGTAAAATTCTGTAAACAGACAAGTCAAAGTCATAAAACATTAAAACAGCAGTTTATTTGTTAGCTGTCTGTTTATTCCCTTAAGTAATAACTGGTTGGTTTTCCTTAGGGAATAAGGAAAATATTATTCAAGTGATATTCGATCCCGTCCTCTATTGATGAGGGCACTATCTTCGACACTTTAGTATTGAACTAACCTCAATAGTCATGACATGAGAGTTCGAAATTTTCACAACTTATAAGGACTGCATCATCGTTTACGAGTTCTGTGCTATGTAGGGTCCATGATCCTTAAGATGAAGCGTATAGCTGTTGTATGCAAGTGTGGATTTTGATTTAGTAAACCGAATAAAGGCGTACATAAAAGGGTGAGCATGACCGAATATTAGGTTAATTTATTTAAACTACATTACAATTTCGAAAATGTAAACTGTCAAACACCGCGAGGACACCGATGTCCGCACACCTATTGTTCTTTTATTGTGTCTGTAATAACGGTCTAATCCTATCCTATTCTATTGTATTGTTTTCTATCAATAATCCTATCCTATTGTATGCATCTTCTCGCTTGGGTGATATGAAATGAAGGGGACTGTCAGACTCTTACTGACTGGGTATAATTCTTTTTCTGTGTCACCGTAGTCGGGTAAAAACTTACCCCTGTGGCCCAAAGGTAAGGGTAACACATTCTCCCGTAAAAATTTGAATTCCTATCCCTAACCCTACCCGCAGTAATAAGTGAATATTTTGCTACACAAAGCAATGTTGAAAAATATCTTGAATTCACAACCATTTTCATTTGCTGTGAAGTATTTTTGTATAAAGCAATACATAGAAACTTACTTGTTGGCTATCAAGTGGTATTGTATGTGGAATTTCATTTAGTGATTAGGTGCACGAATGGATTCAAGAATTACCTACTTTAATATTATCGTAAGTTCATAGTCAAGTGGTCTATTTATGTAGGAGTACATAGCAGAGATACAGTTAAAGAGTTTCTTATACTTTGATTCTAGTTTTGATATAACAAGACGTAACGTCATGACTTTTCCTATCACCGATCGGATATCCGATTGAACCCTTTTAAACTGTGATCCCTGCCTGCCAAGCGTGCAGATTATGACACCCATCTTAAGTACATACAAAGAGGAGACCGAGAGGCCACAAGTGAATTGTCACAGGATTTTAATGATTCCAGATTTAGGCTCTGTGCTGCTGCTGAGAATTTGCTTCGAAGAATAGGTATGATGACGGGGTATGAACATTAAAAATCTAATTAGTCCGTCAGTTAGGTAATGAAAAAATATTAGACACGTATTTTTTTATTTTGATGTATAATAAAATGATACTTAGATATACCGAATCTCTATCTCTACCTATAAAATGTACATAGAAGTACATAGAAGTGACGTCACGCGACACTTCAAATCAATATATCGTCGAAAGTATTCGTTTCTGTAAAAAAATAAAAAATACGTGTGTACCTGATATTTAAAAAATAATCTACCAGACGGACATTAAAATTAAACAGGCCCACAGGAAGAGATTCCAGTTGGAATATGTGGGGCCTATGTACTCTGTTTTTATATATGTGTTGTCCTCTGTGTTGAATGTGTGTACATAAATAAATGAATAAATAAATAAAAATTAGTCATCTACCCTATTGATTATAAGTGCGATACGCTGAAAAAAGTCCCAGTTTCAGGTATTATTGGCATAATTTTTTTTATTTTAACAATAGTTATCCTTATTACTGTTATAATGCACGTGTGGAAGATATCCTGTTTTAAAAACAGGAATTTCAAGTAAAAATAACGTAGGTAATATACTGCGAGAGGAGGGCTGCGCATCTCTATACAATGATTTAAAATTATAAATACTTAATTAAAGATAATGATAGTGATGTTTACGTAAACAAAGTATTCAAGTCCAAATAAAATTATACACCTGCTTAGAGAGGAGTACCTAGTTATCATAATATGTGGATAATTAACGATTATCTAATAGTAATAAAGTTTTTACGAAGTCTTATAAAGATGGTTTAGCCGTTGATAAAATTATTCACGATACTGGATTAAACGAGTATGTTGAGCTCAAGTTTTGGTTTCTAGATAGACTGTAGACTGAAAATACTGAATGTAGTGTGACGAGGCAGTCGCTAGCGAGCTCTCGCGAAGGCAAGTCGTTTCAGCAGTGTTTCACTGCGCGCTGTCGATTGCCGTCCGGTAACTTTGTCATCGCGACCACCCGTAACTTTTCCTGAAATGTGAATTTATTTTGTGGACGTTTTTATTGCTGTTTCGGTGATTTTTTTTATTTATTTTTTGTTTGTTTTACAACTAGTTTTTTTGGAGGTGAGTTATTTTTTTAATTGTATTTTATTAGGTACCTATTTTAGTAGGACTTTTTTAAATTAAAAGATTTATGCAGAAAATTGTTAAGTATTTTATCAGACTTCCTACGATTATTTAGCTATCAATCTTGGAATATTTAGTTATAAGTAAATAGGTAGGTAATTATTTTAATAAAAGAATCATGTAGATATGCATGTTCTGTTTGTATAGTCCACGGTTTTCGTAACGAAATACTCATGACAGTTAATATTTCATTCCGATGACAGATTGAATGCAATTCTGATTTGCGTTCTACCCTAGTTTTGTACTAACCATAATAATGTTTTATAGTTTTTCCTTCAAAATAATTGCAATAGTCGAAGGTTAAGGTAATGTTTAACTAATCGAATTAAACATAAAACCGAAGAATATTTACCTACTAAAATAAAAAAAAAAGACTAAAGCTTGTTTGTAAATAAGAAATTCTGTATATGTACCTAAATAACTTATATTGCGAAAAATTATAAACTTTTCAGTTTAACAAGTTTATTAGGATAATCACTAATAACCTACAATTAATGTGTGGAAAATCCCGGATACCTGTACGGTAAACAAACAAAACAAAAGTAATGCGGTCAGAATCTTAACACAAGCTCTGAGGTACTTTAAATTCCTAATGAAGTTTAAGGTTCACTTTCCTGTGAATGTATTCAAGGAATATTTTCCAGTTATGCTTATATTTTCCTTGTCAATTAAGCCAAGTTTTGTTTGGCCGAGTGAGCTCTTAAGTACAGGTGTTACTGAAAATAATGGCGGCTTTTGGGTATCGGAAGGTGAAATTGGACCAGTAATGATGTAGTAAATTCTTAGTTACAGAGTTATTTAATGAGACTCGAAACTACATTAATATTAACTTTCTAAACTATACTTTCATTAGTAAAAGTTAGTAAATTATTGCTGTTTAAGTATACTTAGTTCTTGAAGTTTAATATTTTCGACTTGACTTTTTAATGGCTATAAAAATTTGATATTTTAAGCATCTTTGAGGGTTTATGACCTGATTTTATGTCTTTTAATCGACGAAGGGCAAGACTAAGTTTGTCGTGTTTAATGTAATACTCTCTTTTAG